CCGGGGCTCAGGCTTTGGCAGCGGCCGCCAGGGGCCGGGGTCTGGGGTCTGCTCCCTCCCTGCGGCCGCTCTCGCCCCCTCTGAGGTCCCCTGAGGCGGTGGGGGGGGTCCCTTACTGCCTGTGCTCGTGTCTGCCGCCCGCTGGCCCCCGCCCCGGCGCCCCCCGCTCCCCGACGCGCGTTTCCATGGCGCGCGCTCCCGGGGCGCCCGGCGAAGGCAGACAAAAGAGCCGAGCTGCCCGCCCCTGGCCCCGCCCCCGGGGTGTCCCTGCCGGGTCCGCAGGTGGGGGGCCGGGCGCGGCCTGACCCGCTGACCCCACTCCCGGATGAGGAGGCCGGGCAGCGCCTTCTGTGTTCCACGCCCGGAGGACCCCTCGCCCGCCCACCTCGCGTCCCTCCGCGCGCGCCCGCCGCCGCAGTGGCTGGAGTCAGTGCCGCCTGGCCCCTCGGGGCTCTGCCCCTCTACTTCTCCTAACGTAGACGGAGTCCACTCGCCGGCCACAGTGACCGGTCCTGCTCGAGGTTGTCCCTCGTCCTGGAGGAATTGCTCGTCTTTCTCCTTCGGAGACGCTGGCGGATTCGAGACCCAGGCAGCCTCTGCCGGCAGCTCAGCTCGGCGGCTTGTTGTTGCTGTTACTGTCGGGCCCACCGCTGACCCCCGGGTCGCTTCTCCGAGGGCTCATCGCGCGGGACGACGTTGTCTGAGCAGCGGGTGGTCTCGAACCGCGTGCCCTCGGGACTGCAGCGCAGCTTTGGTCGGTTCTGACGTGGCAGTGAGTGACACCGTTTAGAGTACGACATAATCACTAAAAAATACGACCGAAAGTCAGCGCTTTTTATTTAAAAATAATTTAAATCAACACATAGTTTGTAAAGGCCCAATCCCATGAATTTTCCGAGATCCGTGTGGGCGAGCATCATCCTGGGAGGACCAGTCCTACTGGGGGGGCCTCGGCGTCCTCGCCAGCCAGCAGTGGACAGCCGGTCAAGGAGGAAACCCCAAGCTGTCTGTGGCCAAGACCCCAGCAATGAGAACCACGCCAGTGAGGATAAGACCCCACACAGTGGGAGGTCACTGTCCCTCCCACCCGGGCTGGGGGCAGAGGCCTCGGACCCCCACCCCCAAGCACCCCACAGATGATGCTGAGAGGTGCTGGTCACTTAAAGGCTGGGGACCCCATCCTGGGGAAGGAAGGCCTGGTGATGTTCCTGAAGAAACTGGCCAGCTGGTCTTGACAGCCCTGAGTGGAGGGGCAGAGCGGCCCTGACCTAGAGGGGTCGCTGTGGGTCAGAGGGACTCCACCTCAGCCTGGGAGAAGTGCAGGGACCTGCCCTAAGCCCAGCACCTCCAGGCATGGCCACTGCCCATGCCCAGTCGCTGCCCGAGGAGAAGGGAGCCTGCAACTTCACTGTGTCCCCATGGCCTCTGCTGCCACTGGGCCCAAGGGTGTCTGTCCCAGCAGATGTCACCCTCCTCTTAGGGAACTTTCCATTGTGTCCTCAAGGGGCAGCCACCAGAGAGATGCCCAGCAAGGAGCCCTAGGGCAGCCATTGACCGAGGTCACGCAGGGGGGACTGGCCCTCAGTTTTTCCACCACTGAGGGGTGGGGACCAGTGACAGTTGGGAATGTGGTGTTGAAAGGTGACCACTAACAGCTTCTGGGAAGCAGGAGGGGAAATGGAGCAACCAGTGTTGGCGCCTCTTGAGGGCAGACAGGGGCCGCACTGGGATTGTCCCTGGAGTCCTTCTAGAGGGAAGATCCCAACGGGGGTGGGGGCATTCTAGGGTCCCTTCTCAGGGACAAGGTTGGGGAACATTCTGTGGGCTCCTTCCTGGGGGAAAGAATAAGGGAACATTCTGGGAGGCAGGAGTGGGAGTTAGTGCTAAGGGCTCCTTCTGATAGCAGAGAGTCCTAGAAGAGTCTAAGGGTCAAGCAGGGGTGGGGGAGGGGTCCCTGGTGAGGGTTGGAGGGGAAGCAGGTCTGGCTGAGTCTGTCTGAAGGCGGGGGTTGGGGGGGGGCTTGGGGAGCCAGGAAGATCTGAGAGCAGAGCAGGGCTGAGTCCTCAGCTGCTCTCTCTACCCTCACGGCCTGCAAGGTCTGCAGTGGCCTGTCTCCTTCACAAGGGAAGCCCTGCTCGTGACCGTGACCTCTTTCCACAGGTGGGGACCCTGAGGGCTGAGTGGGAGTCTTGAGGCCAGAGTGGGGCCTGAGAGCCTAGTGGGGAGGGGTCCTGAGGGCTGAGTTGGGGGCTCTAACTACACACCTGGAGTCCTTGCTGCTGCCTCCACACCAGAGGGGCAGGGCACAGTGAGGCCAAGGTGAGGCCCCTGGCCCGGGAGGGTAGATGGGGATCTTGAGAGCTGGCTGAGAGCACTGGGGATGCAAGTGACCCTGAGCCCCCACGTCCTCACGCTCACTCAGGGTGGGAACATGACAATCCCATTACCATTATGCAGTTCCCAGGCTCCTCGGCTGTGTGCACAGTGGTTGTCCCCAGCTGGCAACCCAAAGGCTGGAAGTTCAAAGCCCCAGAGCTCTGCAGATGAAGGGCTGCAGCCTGCTCCTAGGCCCACCACTGCCAGGAAGACTGAGCTGGGCCGTCACACACGTCGGCCAAGTTGGAGGCAGCATGACGGTCATCCTTGAGAAAGCTGATTCCAAGGAGCTCAGGTGGCCTAGTGGCAAGAAGCTGTGCTGTAATCCCACAGGCACATGGTTCGAATCCACCAGGTGCTCCACTGGAGGAGAAGGGGCAGTCTCTGTGCCAGTCGGATCACAACAAGGAAAAAAAAACCCAAAAAAAGAAAGCTGATTCCTCTGGACACTGGGACGGTCCAAACTGCCCCCAACTGCTGGTTAGAACCTTTCCCACCACCCAACCATGGGAAGCAGAACCCCCAGGACCCAAACTGGGGCTTGAGGTCTGCTGAGAGATGAGCCTGACCGTCAACCATCATTGATCATCTATTGACCATTGATCCCTGCTCAGAGTAGGCCCCACAGAGCAGAGAACAAACCCTTCAAAGCCAGTGATCCCCCGGTTCTAAGCGCTTGGCTCCCACACCAGCACATGGTTCTGAGCCTTTTCATACCTGCAGAAATGACCCGCAGTGGCCGGCCGCTGCCCCACCCACAGCTGTCGCGCCGCTGTCCCATCTGTGTGGGGACCCCAGCTGTACCCTCAGTGAGGTCTCGCTGCTTGTCCTCCTTGTCCAGTCACAACAAATCATGGCCAACACTGAGAAGAACGAGAATCCGCAACACTCGATTGTGTTCATGCAAGACCTGCAGCTAGAAGCAGCTAGGGGCCAGGTTGTCTCCGTTCTGCAGGCCCGCTTCCTCCGTGTGCCGAGAGCTGGAAATAAAAGAGAGTGGCCACAGGGTTGGAGGAGTCGTCCGCCACCTGCATTATCCGACGACACAACCACACGGTGTCTGGCTCCCTTGCTCAGCACTACGTGCTGGGCCCACCGTGGGACGTGTGTTGGGGGGTCTGTCCTCTCTCTGGCCCTCTGTGTGGATGAACGTGGAGTCTGTACTGCTTGCAGGGGGGGACACGGTAGCCCCAACCTCGGCTGCGGGGCCCCTGCTGCAGTGGACACTCGTGTGCTGGCTTCCTGTGGCCGAAGTTCTTGTTCTCATGTTGACGCCCAGGCTGCAGTCACTGGGCCTCACTGTGACCCCACGTCCAGCCTCTGAGGAAGCTGCCTGTCCTGTGACACCCAACCTGTGTGTGTGAGGTGGGCTTTGTGCCGTCCCTGATGGTGAACGGAAGCGTCCTGTGGAAAATGCTTGATCGCTATTCCACAGGAGAGTGATGTGAAGCCCCCAGCAGCCTCTGGGGAAGGTGGACGGCCCTCCACCTCCTCACCATCGAGTCAGTCGATGCCAAGCGGACCCTCCTGTGTGCTCGTGGACTAAATGGCTCGGAAGGGGCTTGCCCATCATTCTCCAAGGAGCAGCTAGTGGATTTGAACCATCGCCTTGGGGTCTATGGTGGGAGCCACTGAGTGCCAGCCCTGAGCTCTCCACCTTGGACCTGTGGCCTGTCCGGGTCTGGTCCTGTGGGGCTGGCCACGGAGGCGGCTCAGGTTTGGGCTGTGACGTCTCTGTAGTGAGTGCCTTCCACAAGGTCACTGTCATCAGAGAATTGATGGGGGGAAGGTCTCTCACCCTTCGTTTAACTCAGTCTCTGCTGTTGACACGTAGGAATTCGCGGAAATTCTCGACTCGCTGCCCTGACATCTGGCTCCTGGAGCCCCGCTTGGCCCTGCTTCTACTCAGCCTGTGGGTCCACGGACCCCAGTCCAGAGATGAGGGAAGGGTCGAGAGAGGACTCCTCCAGCACCTCAAGATGTCTGCTCTGGGCTCCCTGTCCCTGCTGCTCCATTTTAAAGATGCAGAAACTGAGGCAAGCAGCTCAACCAGGGTCTATGTGTTAAAAATCAGCAGAACTTGAACTCAGGGCTGCTCCCTCCCATGCAGTGCTTTGTGGGCCCCAAGGCTCAAGATAAGGGGGCAGAGACAGGTGGACTTGTGACTGCTGCCTGCCCAGTGTACACACACACACTCACACACATACGCTCGTGCGCACGCAGGTACACACACACTGGCCAGGCCTTGGCCACAGTTAACTCTTCTTCCTCACAGTCTGGCAGGGGACCCCAGTATAGAGGGTACATTAGAGGAGCCTTGGGTAACTTCCTGTTGTCCCATCAGGTGAGCCAGCCCTGTGCCCCGACTGCGGGCTTGGGGGTACAGTGCCAGGCCTCTGTATAAGGGTGACTGGCTCACAGCTCCCACAGTTCCCATGATGGCTGCACTCCAGCTTCTGGTCCTACTAAGTGGCCTGTTGGGGTCCACGTGGGCGAGTCACAGCCCCTGTGAGGGTCCCCCATCTAAGCAGCAGAGGAGGACTTGATGCAGAGAGTAGAGGCCCAGTGCTCAGGAAGGGATAGGTCACCCAGCCCAGACCCAGGATGCCCTGAGTGGGGGGTTCAGGGGTCTGGCAGCTCTGGGTGGGGGTGTAGGGGTCTGGCAGCTCTGAGTGGTCCTGGGTGGGGGGTTCAGGGGTCTGGCAGCTCTGAGTGGTCCGGTTCAGGGGTCTGGTATGTCTGGGAGGTCCTGGGGATGCAGGGGTCTGATCTCCAGGAGGTCATAGGTGAGGAGGCTGGGGGTGCAGGGGTCTGGAATTTCTGAGTGGTCCTTGGTGAGGGCGCAGGGGTCTGTCTGGCAGCCCCAGGTGCTGGATGAGGGGCTCTTCTCTTCTCCTGTCTCCTTAGGGAGTGGAAGAGCCTGGGAGAGACTGACAGTCATGCCCCACTCCCAGGCTCGGCCCCCTGCTCGGGCATCGTGGGTGGCAGGAGGGCCAGGCAGGGGACTTCCCATTCCTGGCTTCCATCCAGCGTCGTGGTGTTCACTTCTGTGGTGGTGCCCTGATCCACAGCCGCTTCGTGCTAACAGCAGCCAGTTGCTTCCGCGTTCGGTGAGAGGACCTGAGCGGGAGGTCTGGGCGCTGGAGGACTGGAGGAGAAAGATAAGGGACCGGGGAGCTGGGTCGAGGGAGGGGGCTCAGGGTGAGGGCCTGAGTGGGAGATATCAGAGTGGGTTCAGATGCAGATGCAAAGGGTAGGGGTCTCGCCAAATGAGGGAACTCAAAGCGGGAGGGGCCGCATACGGTTTGGTTTGTCTCTCTGAAGTTGAGGGTGCTCACCGAAAGCCCCTACATCTGCCCAGGCAGTGTTTGCTGCCCTGTGGAGCAGGCCCAGGTGGGCTTTGGGGGCATTACACAAAGTCCAGCCTCCCGCCCCCCCAGGAACCCCGGGACTGTCTTGGTGGTTCTGGGGGCCTACGACCTGAGACAGCCGGAGAGCAGGACCCAGACGTCCTCTGTCAGGAGCGTCAGAGAGAATGGCTATGACCCCCAGCAGAACCTCAACGACCGCGTGAGGGCCAGGTGCCCAGAGGGTGGGTGTGGCCAGCGGGGACCTGGGATCTGGAGGGGAAGAGGACACTGTGAGCTGACACTGTGTGTCTAGGGTCAAATCTGAGAGGTGGCAGCGAGTGCGGAAAGCAGGAGACAAGGAACAACGGGCCTGCTGGGGCTGGGACAGACAGACAGACGGGCTGCAGAGCCCAAAACTGGTGGAGGGGAGCACCGTGCTCCCTCTGGGGGAGGACTCACCGTGCAGACATGTACACGCTCCTGCTGGGCCGAGGGACGCATGGTTCTCCCGCTGGGAGAGGACTCCCCGTGCAGAGGGTGGACTGTGCTCCCACTGGGAGAGGACTCCCGTGCAGAGGGTGGACTGTGCTCCCGCTGGGAGAGGACTCCCGTGCAGAGGGTGGACTGTGCTCCCGCTGGGAGAGGACT